CCCCCCCCCCCCCCCGGCCGCCGCCCCCTAGCTGCAACAACCAGAAAGGTCTCCAGGCCTTCCTCTGTGGGAAGGCAAAACTCAGCCCTGGTGAGAAGCCCCGCCTTAGAGGGCTGCAGGCCCGCCCCAAAGGCCCGGAGTTCCACTTCCCTCCACTCACCCTCACCTGAGCATCACAAGAATGCCGCGTGTCCACCTGCCCCGCCACTTGACCTTCACAGAAACAGAGGCTTCCTTTGGAGGCCCACGTCCTGGTGCGAGGGCCCCTCTCCTGCTCTGCTCAGGAACTGCAAACCGGTGGATTTCATAACCTCACAGGGGCTCTGCGCCCAGAGTCCTGACTTCCTGGCCAACCAGAGATTCAGGTAAAAGTGTTTGCCCAGAGGCAGCTCTGGGGCAGAGGTGCAAACTCTGGTGGAGACTCTGCTCTCCAGCTTCTTGTCTCCTCTCCTCTGAGCTGGCTGCTCAGCGGGGGAAAAAGCCACAGCAGCTCCTTCTGTGAACATGAACCCGGGGGCCACCCTCCTTCCAATTCAGATGGCAAGTTCTGGAGTTAACTAAGAAAGCCTCTGCACAAATAAACAATTAAGTTAATTGTGGTTCTGACATTTTTTCCCCCCTCAGGAATTAAGTACCCAAATGGTGCTAGGCTTCCAGGCTGTGCCTCCATCCAGAAAAAAACCAGAATGCAAGAAGCTGAAGGAATGGGTTCCAAGGCCCTTTATTTTTTAAGCGAGGAAACAGAGCCTCAAAGAAGTGAAGTGCCATGCAGCAGAGAAGCCAGGACCAGACACATCACCTTGCCTTATTTAAAACAAAGTTCCCCACACTCCCCTCCATCCAGCGGGGCAGGAGGAACACGGTCACCGGGAAGGCAGGCCCGGATGGCATCCCCAGAGTGCGTGTCACCAAGTATTTCTATACCTCAAGAGATGGCTTATTTCATGGAAACCCTTTGCCTGGAGCTGGTCTGTAAAAACCATGCAAGGGGCAACCGAACAGAGTCCCTTAGAGGGCACCTATGCCGGGCTCTGTGGCGTAATGTTTGCAGTGAAAATTCGTATTAGCTGTTTTCAGCTTTAACCTTAAACTCCAGCTGGTTTTATCTTCTCTCACTTATTAGACTGTAACTCTGTGCATGGTGTAAAGGTCACACCTGTGTTTATGTGCCATATGCCATCAAAATACCATGAAGAGAACACTATGTGGTCTCTATCAGAAGATCAAAAAAGAAGGGGAGAGGCAGCCTTTGCTCCTAAGTCAGGCCCATTGGGTCCTTCTTGAACACTGCAACAGGCCCGTGTCCTCTGTGGCTACCAGTGGTTTACTTCTGGGCGAAGCACACACTGTTTATTGACAGAGAAACAAACAGGCACCTGTCCGGTTTCAGGGTGACTAGGGAGTTTCCAATCTGGATATGACAAAACTTTTACCCTGTACCCAAACATTCTTTTCTTTTATTTTTAAAGCCAAAATTAGAAAGAAAACAAACATAGAGGGCTCAGCGTAGCAGGAAAAAGAAACTCAGAAGTCAAGACCTTTCATAAGAAAAGCTCCGACCGGGTCTAAACTCACCTGGCCTAGAATCTAGGGTTTCTTTGAGGAGGGAACAGGCTGTGTGTCCCAGCGGCCTGGGAGGCTGGCTGTCCTGAGTCCCCAGGTAGGAGGTCTCCCCAGTTTCCCACGCTGGAGGAGTGGATTGTGAGGATGTTGGGGGAGAGAGGAAGTCAGAGAGAGTTGCTGGAGGAGTATTTTTTCTTGTCTAACCTAGCAGTGCCTTGAGGTGTAATTAATAAGTAACTGCCGAGAGCAACTCTGCAGTGAAGTCCTTAGCCCACCGCCCCCCGTCTGTCTGCTGGTGCAGAAATCACCTGATACCGTTTACCTGGCCACCCAGTGACCTGACCCTAGCGCGGGCTTTGCTAATTAGCATAGTCCCTCAGAGCCCAGCCTTGGGATTGGCTGTCTCACGCTCCCCACATTCCAAGCATCAGTCTGTGCTGGGCCCTCCGAGCCCCTCAGGCAGCCTGCCAGCCAGTCACAGGTGCAGTAAGATCGCCCTTCCTGCGGAGGGGCCCCTTCTACCTGCTGGCCCCACGATGGCCCTGTCCAGGTGGGGGCACGTCGCACACCAGCCTGTCCCAGCCCCAGAATCCAAGGCCTACAGCCTTAACTTCAAGAAGGCATCTTCTGAAGCTATGTGGGGAAAAAAAGCATTTTGCTTTAAAATAAGCTGGCATTGCATTGACTTGAAAACAGGTCAGTCGGCTTCGATTAAGCCAGGCTGTAACTGGAACTGACATGTACATTAACACAAAATGTCAATAGATATTTATACAGCTGCCTGTCTACCCCCCATACAGCGGTGAGTCATTAGTTCATGGGAGAGTCATCAGCTTATGAAAGGTACTGGATATGTTAATTATTTTAAATCATGTGAATATGGATTTCTGCTCTGTGTATCTACTTTAAAACCAAGTATCTATATGAGACCCTTTTCCCCTCAAGCAGTGCAAACCAAGTTTTCATCCCTCAGCTCTGTCCAGGCAGCCCCATGCTCTAGAGAGCCAGGATCATGCCAGAGGCAGGGCTGGGCAGAGTGATTTTCACTAAACTCACAAAAACACAACTGAAAGAGAACTATTCTTAAGAAAAACTCATGTACCATAAAAGGGGAATTTCCAGAAGGCTCTGATATTAGCAATTTGCCCTTCCATTCCCTTCCTCTCTAGTTTCAAGATGAGATGATGACAAAAGAAAGACTTTCAGAAAAAAAAAACAACACAACAACCACCATGAAACTCTGTATACAAACGTGTAAACGGACACAGTGTAACTTGTGGGAATTTCCACACCTGCTCTGATTCGCCATGAAAAGGAGGAAAAGCAAGGGTACCTTTGCCCCCACTCGCCCACATTCAGACATAATCATTAACTCCGTTTTCTTGCTTTAAAATAAATATCACAACTTATGGAGTACAAGTTTTCTTTTTCTTGTGGGGCAAAAGTAGTTTTTCCAAAGTAAGTTCCGAAGTGGGTGTTTTTAGAAGCAGAGAGAGCTGGGAATTTTCTCAAAAGTAGCACAAGTATGGATGGTTCTCCTTTTGCTTTCCAGTTTTACATAGGCATTTAAGGCCAAGATGTGCTGGCGAATTTCAGTAGAACGTTCCAGAGGGAGGGAAAGCACTCCATCTCAGGGGGTGAGTGGACATTTATTGGGCATTCACTGCTTGCAGGCCTGGGATATTAGGTACTGTGGGGGAGTCATATTCAGGCAATAGAAGACAAAATCCAATTGAACAGGGAAATGAGCCAAACGAAAATGGACATAAAGATAAAAAAAAAAAACCCACATATGAAAACACAGACGCGTGCACATAGCCAGCTGTCGTGTCTATAAGCTGGGCTGAATCTGCTCACCTTGCAAAGATTTCCCGCACAGTGGGGACTGCCCACATAACACACATTTTTTAGTTTCTGCTGGAGGACCCTTATGTTTCTAGATCTCTTTAAATGGGGTCATTTACATCACACCCACTTGTTATTTTTTCCTAAACTCACGCCGCTTTATTATTTTAAAAATTCCCATCAAGGTATCATTTACATACAGCAAAATGAACACGTTTTCTGTGTACCATTTGGTGAATTTTGACAAAAGCATACACCCCTGGAATGTACTCCCCCATCAAGATAGGCAGCATTTCCATCCTCCCAGAAAGATCCCTTGAAGCCACTTTGTTTTTAAATTATTTGCATCTGAATGTTTTTGCGTGGAGATTATCAAAGCCAAATGTGTGGGAAGAAAGGCTAATCATCCATCATCTCCTACAAACACAGGTAGTGGAGGTTCTGAAGCCGGTGCGGGAGCCTGCACAGGCACGTTTGCCCGGGATGGGTGCTTTTATTAAATGCCAAGGGGCTTTTCAGGGACAGGCACGCAGGCCCCTCTCAGCAACCCGGTTGGCTGGCGCTTGATCATGGAACAGATTGCATGGGTTTTTCTGGTTTTGTTCTTTAGGCATCGGGGTTTACATGTTTAGAAAGAGGGAAGTTGAGGCTCAGTAGTCAAATGGACCATAGTCTCAAAGGAGCAAACGCTCTCCGATTAGGAGGGTGCAAGCAAGCACGGCTCAGAGCACAGCACGCCTTTCCAAAATTCTGTTGCAACATCATCAGAGGGAGTTCACATGACCAGGCAAATTAGAAATTTTCTTAACATTTCCTGTTTCCCAAATTTCAGAGACCAGCAGGGAATGTCTGGCCCAGAGTAAGGGACAGTGCTTTGACATGGTGTTGTCCTGCTGGCCTGTCCACGGGGGGAGGGGCTGGGCTGGGAGCAAAACCAAGGCCCAGTGTACTTCCTTTGGGGTGGGAGCGGGGGGTACCCTTGCTCCAGGGAACCGACCTGGCAGAGGGACCAGGAGTGGAAGGCCAGGCTGAGCAGCCGACAGGCCCCTCTACCGTTCTGGGCGTTCGTTTCTCATGTGAGGCTGAGCTACTTCATGGACGTTCGGACTGTAGGTCTTCAAAGCAAACACAGAATGAAAAAAAATCCTAAAATATTATGCAGGAAGTAGTTTTTTGTGTTTTTGTTTGTTTGTTTGTTTTAAATCACTTTTCCAAAATGGTACCCTGAGGTAATCCTTTCTTAAATCCCCCAGCAATCAAAACAATGTGGTTGCAAAAGTTTACAACTTTAGAACCTTTCAAAGGTCACCTCCCTGCCTCACACCCTCTCGCATAAGAGCATAACGGATATTTTGAGTCACATGTATTGTTCTTTGTTCATTTGCATTTGGTGAAATCCCTCTTTTGGACCAATTTAGTAAGTGGTGCCTTGGGCTCCCTTGGTGATTGTTCTCTTGTCTTGTATATATATTTTTTATGTCAAAAAAATGTAGACCCCCAGCAAAAAAAAAATTGCAGGTGCAACCTCTGTCCCTTCTACTTTCTTTTTGCTCAGATGGTTTTTCCATCTTGCTTGGGCTGGAATTCCTTCTCCTTCACAGCGAACGAAGCCCTTCAAGGCTCCGATGAAGTCCCTGTCCTCCACGATGCTCTTAGACCTTTCTCTCCTTGGCCTCTCCCTACCTGACCTCTGGTGGAAGGGACATACTTTTCCATACTTCAGTCTCCCTTGGTGTGGTCTCCACCACTAGCCCGAGTTATGGAAGCGTTCTAGTGCCAATTACAAAGCAAGCCCGTACAAGAAAGATTGGCTAACTCGAAAATTTATCCTAAGCACTAACTGCCCCAGCACAGGGGTTTCCACCGAGGGAGATTCTCCAAATACAACGTATGGCAAGGAGCTCTGGGCCCGGCACCCCTTCTTCCCACCAGATGCACAGTGCAAGCCAGCTGCCACGGGAGGCCTGAGGGCCTGCTCCCTCCCCCGGCTCCGCGTGTAAGCCAGCCGCGCTGGCTTTTAGAAACATATTTCTTGCTCCATGAGTAATTTAAAAGTGAGTCATGCTCAGTTTCACCAGCCGGTACATGTGACCCACAGTGCTGGTTAAGTGTATCTATAGATGTGTAAACCAAAGCAGTTCTTAGAACACAGATTTCCCCCTCCCACGTGCTGTTTATTTCCCTTCACTTCGCAGGGGCTGAGCGATAGGATACAGATGAGCTCTGAGTACTGCCTTCTCCTCACTCCCGCCTGGGACAGCCCCGCAGAGGAAACAAAGCTCAGCATCCAGCGAGAGAAAATAAAAGGTCCTGAGGAGGAAAAGAGGCAGGCGAACGACCTAATAAACTTATTTTGTATTAGTAGACTATCAAGAAGCTCTGAGAAAAACCCATAAAAATCTAATGCGATGAAGATCCACATAAACAAAAGCTACTCTGAGTTGTTTCTTTCTGTCCTTGCAGATTTTAGACTTAAAGAAGTACAGCTCCATCTCTCTCTCTCTCTCTCTCTCTCTCTCTCTCTCTCTCACACACACACACACACACACACACACACACGCACGCACATGCATGCACACGACCCACCGTATCCGCATTTCTAAAACAGAAAAACATTCCTGGGATCTGCTGTGGTCTGACTTGATAACTCACGCATATTAGCATGTTTTTATTTCTCCAGCTTGTCTTTATTCTTCTATCACTGGAGAAGGTGCAAGGCCCAGCTCAGGGACATGATTGTTGCAGGAAGGACGTCGGGTGACACAGCTGCCAAGCACTCTAGATAGTGTTTCCTACCTCCTTCTCACTTCCTTTTTTCTATTAAACCAAATGAAAAACTCCTTTGCCGGCTATCTTCCCATGGACGTCGCCACTTCTGCGATCCTTCATTATGTCTGCTCCCCGGTTTTATTTTGCTACTGGTTATAGAATAAGTCATGCCTCGGGCGCCTGGGTGGCTCAGTTGGTTGGGCGACTGCCTTCGGCTCAGGTCATGATCCTGGAGTCCCGGGATCGAGTCCCACATCGGGCTCCCTGCTCAGCAGGGAGTCTGCTTCTCCCTCTGACCCTCCCCCCTCTCGTGCTCTCTATCTCTCATTCTCTCTCTCTCAAATAAATAAATAAATCTTTAAAAAAAAAAAAAAAGAATAAGTCATGCCTCTCCAGTTTGATGGCAAGTTCTCTGAGGCGGGGAAGGAGGAATTTGACCCTGCATATCCCCATAGCACCTAGCCCACTGCGATGGGCAAATCAAACTTCCAGATCAAAAGAAATGCTATTCTTTTATTTTTGCCAAAACAGCATAACAGGCAAGGTTTGCCTCATTTTTAGCCCTCTGTTAACTGAGACTGCAGGCCAGCTGAAAGGCAGACTTTCTCGCTCATCCTAGTCGGAGGTTTTGTGGAAAGGAATAAATATATGGACTCTTCAACAAGAGGACAAATACAGACAATGAGAGGCACGTACATGGCCCCATGAACAAGCATCGATTTAAGCATTCAACAAGTATCAGTTCACCTGAACTTCATATCGACCCAAGGAAGGAGGTGGTGTTATCATCCTCACTTCACACACGAGGACAGAGGCCGAGTAGGTAAGTCAGACCGAGCTGGATTCAAACACAGGCCACGTGGGTCCTCTGTGCTCCCGGGGGCTCTGCTGCATTCGTGTTCTAGCTGTGTGCTTCATCTTGTTCTCTACACGGATACCTGCTTGCGCGAACGCGTACTAAAAACCACCGTCGCTCAAGTCCATGTATAGAGAACTAATGATTAGATGTCATCTGCCAGGGAAACTTGAAAAAGAAGTATGGCAGTACGGGAGCCAAGTAAATAGCATCTTCCTGGAAGTGCAGGGAGACAACTCTTACCAGTCCACCCTGGAGAACCCGCTAAATGGCGCTACCCATGCTCCGTGGAGATACCAGGTTCAAATCTCTGGACAACCTAGAGGTAAGGATCCCCTTCAGACCAATATTTTACTATATACACCCAACAGAGTCTTCCCAAATCCCTAATTTCTCAACAGACAGAAACTCAATACAGCCCAACTCATAGCTGCAGTTGGATTTGTTTACTGTGTTTTAAATATGATTCTCAAGCAAGCCCGCACATGGCAGGCTTGAGAACTCCAGATTAGGTACAAGAAGAAAAACCTCATCCTGGTGGTCAAATCATGGCAGGAAATGATGCCACCAGCAATTATTCATGTATTAGCAGTTGCTTAAGTACCATAAGGCTTTTAGGGGAAAAGACTGGGAGGCAGTGGTTGGAAATGCAGCCCCATTATTAATGTAGTCAAGCTATTCAGCTGGATTCAATAAAGCAAAAAGCCCTGCCCAGACCAGTGTCTGTAGTAGAAGATGCTAAGAGCTGGGTTTTTTGTTTTTTGTTTTTTTTTTAATCTGGCTTTATTGAATCCAGGCTTGATACACAGAATTCCTTCTTCTTGAATGGCTGAAAAACCATCCCATGCATTTTAAGCCATGGGAGAGAAAATGGACTGAAGTTGTGTCAAGAAAGCACAGTTAGATTTAAGGGAGAGAACTTCATAACATTCGAGGCGATCAAAACCTTGGTAGCCCTCTGGATATATTGTCAAGACAGGCTGTGAAATCCTCTTATCAATTCAGCTCAGGTTAAAAACCATGACTGGGAGCCTCCCGTGGTCCCGGCCCCACGCAGGTCCTGTGGGGCTCCGGGCACAGCAAGGTGAACAAAATGTAACCCCAGCTCCTGAGGATCTCACCACCCAGGGAAGGAAGCAGGAGTCTGCCCTGACTAGCACTGGCAGACACGTTCCGGGTTGGATGAACATCTTTGGTATCTCTGTTTGTGTGTCTGTCCCTCTCCGCAGTCTTACTGCTATCACTTTCCATGTCTCTGGCTCTTCACTGTTTTAGGACTGTTTTGTCCCCATCTCCCAGACCCCAAGCCTCAGACCTCTCTGGCCTGGGGAGCCCACAGGCATCTTCTGTGTTTATCCCTCCAAGCACATCATTGGCCGGCTGCAGCTGCCTCCACTCCCCTGCTCGGTGGCCCAATTCACCCTGCTCAGTAATGCCGAGAGGCCTTTCTGATCCCCATCTCTCTTGCAGAGTTGGCTGCAGAACCTGACGAGAAGCCATGAGAGGAGTCTACTCCTTGGGTGAGGCCATTAGGCCAACTGCGCCATATTCACCTGCTCAACAATTTCCTGAGCGCCAAGAGCCCAGGTACAGAGGGCAAGTAAAGAATGATTCGGTAAGACTGTCCTCCAGGACTTTTTATGATCTAGCGAAGGAATAAAAAAGACCTCAGCCCAAGGGAAAGCACAAATAAACTATATGACAATGTTAAAAACAGCAACGACTCCCAGGAAGGGTCTAATTGGTCCAGACTGTTATCATTGAAAAGCAATGCCCCCAATGGGCAGAGTCCTTGTTTCAGATCGCCTTCCAGGCTGTCCTATCTACGTGTGAGCAAGTCCGTCGTCATTTTGTTAAATCAGGTACCTCAATCCAACATGGGTTATGGATGTGCCTGGAGGCCCACAAGACACAATGCCAGGAGCTCATCACCCTCTGCAGAAAGGATCTGCGGTGTGGTGGGCACGCAGGGCTTTATACACAGCCCTGTACCGTGGCCCCAGGCAGAGAAAGCTAATAGGAGAAGAGGGACACCAGGAGGTGCTAAGGAGGAGAGAGACAGCTCTAAGGGAAGGAGAAGAATATTCTCTACAGGCGGAGAAACTTGGCCAAACCTTGGATGGGGCCTTGAAAGATGAGAGGATTTGGATCTGGGAAGGGATGGTGGTCACTCCAGACAGATTGGCTGCCAGGGACTCTGGAGGGGCAGGGCTAATGCATGCATATCTTGCCTGGCTCAGGAATGCAATCTTGGACATTGAAGGTCCCTGGGGAGTGATGTCCCTAGCATTATACTCTGTCACTTCCCATTGTCCTACAATCCAGCCAGCTCCCATTCCTTCCCATTCCCTTCACAGTGACCCTTCCAGGCTAGGATGTTGGTGACACCTTTTTCCAGGTCCCAGGGCTTCCTGGCAAGCTGAATTGCCAGCTGGCTTTTGCCCGTTTCCCTTAACCTGCCCTGATGGCGTTGGGAGCTGGTGCTTTCACTCCCACACCTCTTGTCAGCCATTGTGTGGCAACAGTAGAAAGAGAGCCAGATGAGATAGAACAGACTCTGTGATGGAACATACACAGAGGACACACTGGCTGGGAACATTTGCATAAGGTACACTAATAGTCCCTGACCCAGAAGATACCCTGAAGTGTGTCACACCAGCTTGCACTGGCCAAGACTAGGCAATAGTACCCAGATCGTGGAAAATGTATATATATATAAATGTCTATATATATATATGTCTATATATGTGTATGTATATATATATATATATAAAAACAATGAATTCAAATGAAATGTATTTGGGGGGAAATAATTTCAGAGCCAAGGAGCATTATAATGAGTTGGTGTTCTTAGAAAGGTGTCAAACAGAGATAAGTATTAACAAATCCTTCTAATCCTGGGCAGATTATACAATCATATTGACTTTGAGTGCAACAGTTTACAGAGGGGAAATGGGACATCAGATAGGTTAAGTCTGGGTGGGAAACGTTAAGGACTGAAGCATTAGGAATGATGCGCTCCTTAAAGGATCTGAATTCATACTGGTTGACCTACTTACCTCTTTCCCGCCCTCCCTCCCTCCCTCCCTCCCTCCCTCCCTTCCATGGAGCGAGGTCCTGAGCTAGATGCTGAGACGACACGCGAGAATAAGATACGATTCTTGTCTAATGTAGCCCGCACTCCAGCCAGGGAGACCAACAGCTAACAAATTCTCACGTTGAAACACAATAAGGTGCTACGGTAGAGGTATGTGGAAAATGCTCCAGGAGCATGAAGGAGGGTGGCATCTGTTTCAAAGGGACTCCTCTGGCATATAATTCTATAATTAATATTTCTCATGTGTCTGACTGCTTGGGGCTTAACTGTCTTTCACAGTTACCTTTTCTCTCTCTCTTTGTCTCTGTCTCCCTCTTTCTCTCCCTCTCCCTCATTCCCTTTCTTCACCCACCATCTGTTTGTCCATTACCTCCCTCTTTATCTATCTATCGTCTATCTGTGGAACATTTTAGACCATACAACTTTCTAGACAGGTTCCTTTTCTTGCTGTTGGGACAGCCTAGCTACCAAAGATCATTTTGCCAACGTGAAAGTTGACAAAGGGAGTTTGCAGTTCCTTCTCTGCAGGACTTAAAACAGGATTGTTCTCATCTGGCTGGGATGGTTGGGTGGTCTTGCCTAAAGGCAGCAGGGCCAACCAGAGGACTTTTCAAGGGCTCCTGGACATCCTTGTTTCCCTTGTGGCCAAGAACCTGTAAGTCTCTTTGGACCCCGAGCTGCTGCTACCCTTTCAGCACGGGACTTGGCTGCCGAGGCCAAAAGCTGAGGTGAGGAATGGCGGCCCTGGAGGGTACATTTCCATGGTCTGAGAGGTCATTGTTGCAGCTGGCTGCCATTCTAAGAGAGACCGTCAACTCTGCACTGAGAATCACACCAGGGTTATAATCATCCATAACGGACATCAAGAGCCAAAAATCCCTGAAATGCTTGAACTCAGAATTTTGTTATGTAGCTTGCATTTCCTAATGCCCTAAAGCTTCTGATCTGTTTCCAGTTGGAGGGAAATGTAAACAGCTCCGCTCGCTGGTAAATTTGGCCTCTGTAGCATAAATTTCCAAAGGTTCCCTCATGTCCTGTTGAGTAAAAAGTCCTCGTGGAATGTCAATGATTTTTAGGTGCTCTGCATATCCCTGGGAAGGGGAAAGGTAATCTGAGGATGGTATCTAGAAACAATGCCGACCAATGGTCACTGCGCTTTCTCTACAAGAACCCAGATCAAACAGGGGAATGTAAACACCATTTCATACACACTGAGCAGGCTCAGTGGTCATGAGTCTTTATTTTGGGGCCTTAACTGTCTTTGACTAGAGCTGCTTATTGGCCCACAGGCAGTGAATCCGGAGGCCTGATTCTGAGGTTCTGGTTTGCCTTCTTGGATTCTTAAAGTCTGACAAGGGCTGCCCGGGTCTACAGGCATAGGCAGGCACCCAAAACAATCTAGTGACATTCATTCCCTAACTGATTCCTTGACGGGCTTCTCTGGATCTGTCAGAAGCAACCAGCCCTTGTTTTCCAAATTAAATGCAGACAAGAGTTGCATTTTCTTTTCGGGATAGATACCAGTGGACATCATCAAGGTAATTTCAATCCGCTTTTAAATGTTACCTTTGGGGAGAACAGAGATGATCTTTTTTATATTCTTTCACATTTTTCAATGTAAACTCATATAATCAATCGCCATGTTCTGATTATAACCACCTGAGAGGAAGCCTGACATGGTGGCTGATCCTGGCTCAGGCACAAACTAGGGCGTGGTCTTGGGCAACGTGCTAAATGTGTCCCTGTGCCTCAGTTTCTTCATCTGTAAAGTGGAGCTAAGGATAGGACCTACCTCATTCAGTCCTTGTGAGGATTAAATGAGTTATTACATGTAACACGCTTAAAGTAGGTACCCGGAACATGGTAAGCACTCTGTGTTAGCTATTAGTATTATTATCGAGAATGAATAAATCACAGAGCTAATCAAAACTGAGCAGATGAGGCAGCATCTAGGAACCTGGGTTTTAAATGAGATGCAAAGAGCTGGAATGGTCCCTGGGCATAGTAAGTGCCTGATGTTCACAATTTATACCTTGGGCACCTGGTCCTACTTTTATTTTGAATTATTGTTTACGACCTTCACTTACCCTTGCAGAGCTCTATGGAAGCACGTTACATTTTGCTTCCTCTCTACCACCTTTGATGTTCAGGGAGAAAAGGCACAGACCCCAGCCCCACGTCGGAGGGAATCCTCCACTAACAAAAAGTTTGGTTCTGGTATAAACATCGTGATCAGTTCTTCTCTTCGTTTTTATTCCTGAAAGAAAGTGGCACACCTAAGATCGAGAAAAATTCTCTTGCAGCCTGTATGTTACAGCCTCACCATTAAAACCCACCAATGCCAAAAACACCAATTCCACCTGAACATTTTGGGTGTTATTTGTTTAAACATGTTTGTTTTCTTAGTGAAGCTAAAAATATTTTCCTGTGGTGTTTCTGAAGGGACATTTAGACTAAAATAAAAATAAAAATAAATGATATGTTTAAAAAAGTTATATTCATCAGACCTGGGACAAAGTATAGAAAATGGGTGGAGGAAGTGAATGTTAGGACCTGTGTAGTAGTTTTCCTATTTTGGTTGCTCTAAATAGACGTGGAAAAACACATTGAAAGAAAAAAGACTATCTCCACCCTGTACAAGTGAGGAATGAAAAAACATTTACTCATATTGGAGTTAAGCTTCTAAATAAATTAGTACGTGTCCATGTAATATTTTTTCCTGTTATTATATATCAAACCCTGTTCCTATGAACTATAATAATTACATGAAACTGCTATTTTGTACCAGACTTTTTATCATTGGGGGTACAGTCTTGACAAAAGGACCAGAGAAATTTCAGGGAGTGGTGATTATAAAGAAATATTTATGGTAGAATACTGACTATAATAAAATTTGATTTGCAGTTTCTTTTTAAGTGAGAAAAACACAGTGACAATCTTAGCAAAGAAAGGGACATTGGACCCAGGGTTTTCTCCCGTGGATAAGAGAAATCCTTTATTAGGAAATTTCACCTTTGGGGAATCCATTATTCCCTCAAAATATCAGGCTAAATTTCCTCTGTTTGTGAATTTTTCTGGGGAGAAAGCACATAGCTTTAATTTAATCCTCAAAGAGATACAGATACGAATATTGATCATATACACACACGTTTAATTTTGTGGAATGCCATTAAGAACCACAGAGCAACCCCCTTTAAAAAATGTTTATTGTCTGCCATTTCACCGAAGAGGTCACACTGAACCACAAATCAAAGTTAAGGGAGACCTTGACATTCTACAGAAGTCTGCCATATTATGTCCAAAGTCACCTTCCTCAAATAGAATCTTCATTCAAAAGGCTGACATTGAGTGGTCCTTCAGTCACTTTCCAAGGTTCAAGTACGTTTCATTCCCTAGAACTTCAGGAAGCCAAGTCGTCAGCACTCATGGAAAATACTGGGTAAGAATGTCCAAGCTTCACCATTGCACTCATCCTCCTTTGCTGAGCCTCGAAGGATAGAAGCTAATTTGAAGATTCTTCATTTGTCAGCTGATGAAAAAACTGTATATAGAGAATGTATCCTAAATTCAACTTGGAAAGGGCAGCCACACAAACGCCATGGTGAAACAAGCTAACAGTGTGCTACTCTGTCTGCAAACTTTCACACAAATTATTTCCAGGAGTCATATTCCAAGTATTTAACAGCCAGCCCGGTGCGCACCCAGGCCAATCAGAGCCGACTTGAGCTGGCTGTAAACAGCGACCACAGCTGTGCCAGGCCATCCCAGGTGAATTCCAGCACTGGTTAGTTTATTTGAGGTCCCTAATGGTGCTAAATCTGTTTTGCCAATGGGTTTAAGAAGAAATTCAAAGGTGAGAGAGCTGAGCTCAGAGAAGTTGAGAGGTGGCCAGAACCAGCTGGCTACCAAATCACCAGAGATGAGATTTAAAGCAGATCCTTGGACCCCTGCTCTCCCCTCCCCCCCCCCTCTCCCCCCCCCCCACTCTGCAGGTGCCCAGAAATGTTCTCGGGGAGCCTAGCTTGCCTGGAGCCTGTGCCACAGGGGACAACGAAGCTACTGGGACCAGTCAGCAGTCTAATCGGCTTAGACACACCTTTAGAGCCTGCAGGACAAGTGATCCCTGCTCTCGACCTTTCTGTGGGGCTTGCACCTCTGCGAGCAGAGTGACCCGGGGCTGGTCAAGGGCACCAGCTTCGCCAGGATCTTCAAAGCCTGAGACGTGGGAAGCACTCACCAGAGACGTGACTTAGGATGATCGGAAGGGAGGTGACAGCTGTGGATGGCACTTTCAAGCAAAGGTACAGCTAAAAAATGATCTCGGCTCTAACTATGGACACGGTCGTTTGGTTGTGTACCTTCCCAGACGAGCCATTCCGTTTGCTCCTGTCAGCATTCTGCATGATCCACCAACAGGATATTCCTTTATGAGGATGGGGAGCAGTGGCGGGAACGGAATCGAGTGTTGAGAAAAGCCTGGTGATAAAATCGCTTACAGACTAGTCAGTATTTTCCATAATGATGAGATGCAGCCTGAGAAAAGTGGGTTTGTCTCTCATCCTTTCTTCACACCTTTCGGACACTAGAGACCCACTGA